AAGCAACCAAATGAAAATTTATACCTCCAAAGATAAATTCTCTCCCTCTTCTTGTGGTACAATTTATGCAATACATCAAGAATTTTTAATAAACATACATCCCTTCATTTGGAAAAGTGGCTTCTGTGCACTATTCAAAATATTTTTCTATTAAATACAGAGCTGGTTAGGGGTTTTCTTTTCCCCCAGTAAAGAAAAGGAGGAAAATCTTTCTGCTGACAAAATGCAAGAAAAAGCTAGAACCAAAATAAGTCTCCATAATGACCTGAGCTTTGCTAGTTACGTTTGGCAAATGCACGACTGATGACGCTAAATTTTCATCCAAGTTTAAAATAAAAGGCGAAATAATGTTACTGCAGCGAGCAGCAGCAAACCACAGCTTGAGGACAATGATATGATTTAGGTCCCACCCTCATGCTGTACTTAGTTTTCAGTGGAGTTTATGGAACAACACGTCAGCAATAAAAGACAGCTGGTCTACAGATTGGTAAGGCCAAAGGGATACGGCACAGCAGCACTGTGCAGTTCTTTCAGTGCATCACTGATAAACTGAAGGGATGAAATCCTGGCCCCACTGCAGTTGATGGGAGTTTTGCCATCAAACTTAACAGAGCCAGGAATTCACTGTAGGTGCTTATGAGTCATTACAGATGTATAGTTTGCCATGCACTCACTTATACTGCAAATAACTCATAAACAAGCTACTGAAATAAGATGCCATTGCGCTTCACTTATGAGTAGTGATGATATTCAAGTTAACAATACACAAGCAGTGCAGCTGAATCAGTCACTTTACTATTCTACTCTTTTCCTGATAGGGTTGCTGCGTCTCCTCCCTCCCTGTTCAGCGCTACAGTATTTTTTTTATGCTGTAGCCAAGATATTCTAACCTCAACAACCGCACACTTTCAGATATCTTAAACAAACTGCACGCATGTGTTCTTGCCATGGTCCGTGTTTAGGGATGCATACGCTATCCTGAGCAAATGGGGATTTTTTTCCAGAACGTACTAGTACAGACAATAAGATCAGCAATACCATTGTTTTTTAGGTATTTTTTAGATACTGACTTTCATAATAAGTGCACAAAATTCGAACCAGTGTTATTTCTGCAAGGGTTTCAAGGATCTGGACAGAAGACATTTACACTGGTAGAGTATCAGCTTTTGATATCAATGTAAACTATACTGGGATCCAGAGCAAATACACATGCAACCATCTCAGGTAAGTAACTGCACATAACAGGCACCTATGACCATGTCTCACCAAGAGCTGGTGGGAGAGCAAGCAACAGACTGTTTGCCTGGAGCAAATGGCTACCCCCAGACAAACTACAGGCACACAATGTGTACACCAATGCAATTCACATCAATCTCGTTTCACCCCTCATTCTTTCAGGCATAATTCAACTTCAGATTGGGCAAAGTTACTTGTGCAGGGGTTTACATCATCTATCCCCCAATGTAAAAGTCAATTATTCCGTTGGAAACATATTGTCTATCCAGATCCTGAAGATACAATCACCCCTTTAACAGGTTTTAGTTTTGCCCATAAGTGTCAGTGTCATGAGTTCACACACTTCCACTTATAGATTTCATAGACATCAGGGCTGGAAGGGACCTCGGAAGATCGAGTCCAGCCCCCTGCCCGAAGGGCAGGAAGTCAGCTGGGGTCACAGGATCCCAGCAAGATACTTAAGTAGCCTTGTTCTGAAAAACTCTGAATATATTGATCAGGAATTTAGATATGCAAAGAGCATTTAGTTGTTCCATCTGTGAACATGGGTCAGGGAGTTAAGAGCAGTTTGTGCAAGCACACCATTTTTTTATTTTTTTTTTTTAGAATAAACTATCAACTAAAGCCTACGTCACCTTTAAAAAAAGCCCTGTGAAAATAATGGTGCTACAAGCAGTAGCAAAATATTATATATATATATATATATATATATATATAATCTCCTTTATATTGGTGGAATCAGTATTTAAGTTTCCAAAAGCAGCAAGAACAAAGTGTGTGGGGCATTAGCTCATACCACCACAGAGGTATGTAGTTTGTGCTCAAGCAACGTGAAAGCCAGAAGGCTTCTGCTTCTCTTGCACAGTGAGCAAATCCAGGGGACCAGCGTAGCCCACTGGTCACCCCCAGCAGCCAGATGATGTCACTGTGCACAAAATGGAGCTCTTGGGACTGGACATCCCAAACTTGGTCCTACCAGCACACAGAACAGCTCCTATTAGACTCACTTTTCACACAGCTTCTCCACATAAATCAGTAAATATATTGCACCATCAGAAATAAGAGTGAAGTATTGAATTCCTTGGAAAAATCCAAACGAGTCCTAATTGACTACTCTTAAACCTTAAATTTAGCTTCAGGCCTGACTGATAACTGCACAAAAAGTCCTGGTACATTCAATTTACTGCCATTTCACTAATCTGTAAGTGAACTACGCCGAATGAGAATTTCGGGAATGCAGCATTCGGTCTTCTGTCTCCGAGGTTTGTTTCCTGTAAAACCCATTTCCATCGGGGATGCTATTCATTCTTCTCATTGGCTGCCCACGTAGTTCCAGCTCAGATGGCAGGGATCTTTACAAAGGGCACACGGCAAAAGCACCAGGCATGAGCTGCAGCGTGTGGCAGGAATTGAGCTCTTCAGAAGGCCTTTGCACATTTCCTTTGCCCGAAAATATGTCAACTATGAAGTATGTGTGCATGAGGCAAACGTGGCTGTTGTCATCCAAGAGTTCACCGAGTGATCCCCTCCCAGGAGCAACTGAGTCATCAAAAGATGCAGTCTACCTACCCACAGGGCCAAGCTCTCCCTTGCTCAGATCTAGGAATCCTTCAGATGCCGTGTGTACCACAGTCTGCTTTCTGCAACGCTGCTCCCTATCAGGTTACAGGAAAACCCCTGCCTGCTTTCCAATATTGAGCACCAGTTTGGCAGTCTACGATAGCTTAGAACTAGAGCTGCCTAAGCACTCGGAGACGGTAAGGACAACAGTACCTTCCTCTCCGTATTCCTGCCTTGAATCCATACACTTCAAGTATTGCATCTTCCCTTCGGTAGAGAATTGCTTTTGTGAAGTGCAGCAAGTCTTGCTAAGGAAGGTCTTTGGCATCTCTCTAAGGTACATCTTCTGAAATGTTGCATATGGATAGAAAATAAGCTGAATTCGTCGACTTGAAAATTGCACCCAAAATGTCTAAACAATTTGTCACCCTCTTTGGTTGCAGCTAGTCAAAGTAGGGATCCGAGATCGTATTATTTGAAATGTCTGAAGAGTCTTTGTTTCCAAAAGATACAACTTGATTATTCGTTTCATTATTTTAGCCCTCACAATAGTGGATATTTCTCAGTTTGCAATTTGCTACATCCTTAGCTGCAAACTAATATGAATTCAGAACAATTCCCTAGACAAAAGAGGGCCTGACCTATTCCTAGGGAACACTCACAGCAGGTTCATTTAAAATGGTCCTTATGAATCCTCCCATAATTAAAACCTAAGAAAACATCTGTCTGATGGCAAGAGCAACAAGACACACGCCTCACTCAGAGTATGAGGCTTAATCCTAGTCATTTGGAGCAGTTGAGCCCAACTCGCACATTCCAGCATAACTCTTAATGCTTTAATGACTTTATAAGTGCATACAGAATTTGAATACTCACCAAGAATACGCCCAAAAACTGTCTTTCTACTCAGGATACCATAGGCAAGGAAAACATCACTGAAAACTCCAAGTCTTTAAAAACCACAAAGCTCTGATCCCAATTCCTATTGTTATGCTTCCAACTACAGGAAACTGCTGGAAACACTGTAGTTCGAGGGTGGTATTGTCCCTGAACTGATACAGCCGGCGGCTAGAGTACAGCAGTACAACAGCTAGGTCTGCGGGAAGGGATCTTTTACCAAGATGATTGCTTCAACCCTGCTAGAAGTCAAGTCATACATTTTAAGTGAGACCATAGGTCCATAATAAATGGACATTTTCACCTAATTCTCCTGGAAGAGACCTTACATTTAAACACCATCATAGAGGACATGTGAAAGTGTCTTGCCATGGCACCTGTGCTCAAATGCCTACCTCACTGGTGAGTTGAGCAGGAGCTGGGAGGGAGAGCATTTTCTCCTACAATCCCCTCCCAAGAGAAATAGATCTGAGCTCAAGCCTTACCTATTTGGAGTGGGAGACAGGATGAATATACTGGTCTAAGCCTTAAAACTGACTCACTGCCTGTCACTTAGTTTGCTGCTTGTAGGATTTGCTCATTTGGTATCAGAAAGGGGAGCAGTGCATTTGCAGCCAAAGGTTTTTAGGAGACAATTTCTGCTCTTAAGACCAAATCACCAAAATGACTGAGAGGTAAAGGAGTTGGTCAGATGGATGCACAGTTTTGAGCACATTGTTTAGCTTGGACTGCTGTCTTGACTAATGCTGCTACAAGAAAGCACAGACTTGTCACCGTACTAGCCATTCCTCTGCCAGTGACAATCAAATTAGAGGAGGCGGAATAGTGATAAGGAAGGCCCCAGTCTCATTTCAGCTGAGGACAACTGAAGTCCTAGCCAGTATAAAATACCTAGGGGAAAAATACTACAATTCAGGGGCCTTTTACAGATAGGGAGATGCAAATCATAAGAGGTGAGATGCACAGAGGCACTAATAAGACCTGATCCAATAAAAGAGATCACAAAAAAAACCCTTACCTTTCTCCGAAAAATAGTAAGATAAAAAGGAGAGAAAAGGACATGCATGAGTATTTTGGAACTCTTTGTTCTAAAGACTTGTCTGAGTCTTTGGAAATCCCTCTATATTGTTATAACTGTGCTCACTACACTTCTGTAAGCATGATCATAACAATACACAGAGATTTTCAACTTCTCAGACAAGTTATGAATAAGCCAATCGTGAACAGGGCTTTCAATGGGCTAAGCATTGTACAAACACCCTTCATTATCTAATACAAGACTGGAAACGTCGCACTGTTATACTCACATCGAATCCCATATATCATTAGAGGATCGAGCTGCTTCTTCCCATGCTTCCCCTGCCCTGAAAGGTTGGAAATAGCCTGAATTTCTCGGTGAAAGAGGTAGTCAAGCAACGTCAGTGCCATCTTCTCAGCTGTGCGGCAGTTCGTGCTGATGTGCAACATGTCAGCTTGGGTGATGGGGCAACGGACTCGCATCTCAGGATTATTTTCATCTCCAAGCCACGTCCCATTGGGGTAATCCTCTAAAACAGAAAAGGGAGAAATTCTACATCATGGCAGACTACAAGTCAGGTTACAGTTATATTTAAAAGGTGCAAGTGCCATCATCTCTTCACATTTTCTTTATGTTCTCCATTACCTTATTTCAAAGCCCACAGAGACTGACTTGCTTGCAAGATTTGTGATGAATAAAAAGCCTTTAGCCAACCCACATTCACAGTGACTAAGAGTCATTACCATGAATAGCTTATATCCGGCCTACGAAAATGAACTTATGATCTTTGTCCAGATGTGTCACTTGCACTCAATACAAGTGGATACCTTTTAAAGCATCTCTGAAGAAGGGGGCAATAACTGAAAGAACAAAGTAAAAGGAACTTTATCCTCGTCTTTAGAAGTGCTCAAGCAGCCCCGCATGATAAGGATCAGGGTAAAAGTTTCTGGGGTGGGTAAACTGGTACCGTAGAGTAAGCAACTTCTTGCTAAGGCTGGTTTCTCCAAGCTCACAGCTTTGAATCATAGGTTTATCTTATTCCCGTGCTTAGGAGAAAAACAAAGTGAAATTCTGACAACTTGAAAAAAATAAAGTATAATTAACAATGAGTAATTTACTTGATTAATTACTTAAAGGGGTTTATCACGGACAATTACTCAACTGTAGACAAAGATCCCAAATGGAACTGTTTTTTGGTTTTAGACTTTACTGACCAGTAGTCTGCATTATTTCCTAAACACGTCATTTACCAAAGGAACATTTCCAGCACAGAAAATGAATCACCACTCATCTCTCCAGTGTATCTCTCCTCCTGATCAAGGATGAGGTCATTAACAGCAGAGTATGCACTCATTATACTGGCTGCCAGCACTATACCTGGCCTACGCGTATCCAGACCGTAGCTTTCACTCTTGCTCTGGCCTCAGAGTTTGGAAAAATAAATACTCGTTTTAAAGTTTAAAGTCGTATCAAACTCTTAATATAAATGAAATGTTGCTGGCAGTGGCAGTAGTCTGCGATTCAAGCTTCTAACCAGAAACTGGACTAAAGTTCAGTATGGACACCAAAGTCACATCTGGGGTAGGGGATGCCGTTCCAAGGAAAGCAAATGTCCTCTGGATGTGATGCTAGACTAAGCCGGGTGTGCTCAATTCAGTTACAATCAAATTTCCAATAATGTTGAAGAAAAAAATTCCAGTTTCCAGCTTACCATTTCAATGACAATTGACACAAATGACCTGTATTAAATACTAATGTTCACACGGTATCATGGGGTGAAATACATGACAGCTGCTGACCCCAGATTTCTTCAGCTCTTCCATGCTGGCATTTTATCGTTTGCTTTACACATCTTCAAAAAAGTGGCATAAATAAAAAGCAGAACTTTTAATTATTTTCAAGATGTGTATGTAACAGAGTATTAGGGCATATAACAGTCACAAATTCCTGTTTTTCATAACCATGCAATTCATGCACTAGCCATGAAAAAGTTCAGAAGAACGAACACTTTTCAAGTTGAATAGTGTATTATGTGACCCCTGAACGAGCATAATCTTTATTTCCAACTACAGACTTGGATTAAATAGCCTAGATTCTGTTAGATTATATGCCAAAAGTATGCAATAAAATTTAACATACGAAGCAACTCAAACTCTAAACACACTTTTCAGACATGATCTCTGGGATTCACTAAAGAAACAAGCATCAGCTCCAAGTTTATTGATATAAATGATGACGTAAAGTAAGTAAAGGTGAAGTAAAGGTTAAAGTATACAATATTGGTGCAGTTTAGGAAATATTGGTACAATTTAGGAAATACCTCATGGTTTTTAGAAACAGCCAGCTACAGTAATTTGTGAAGTTGAAGTGTTTGCCTTCACACACAAATCATAGCTATTACACCCAACTACTGTCCATAAGTTTAAATTTAAAGAAATGCTATAAATGTATTGTTACACACACACACACGTACTATATGTAAATCTTATCTTAAATAAGTGGAGAGTAAGGGAGGATTGATAACAGTCTTCAAATATGTGAAGGGTGGTTATAAGAAGGATAGCAAAAGACTATTCCCCCGTGGCTGCAGGACAAGGAGTAGCAGCCTTACACTGCAACAAGGGGATTTCAGGTAGGATGCTAAGAAGAACTTTCTGAGCATTAGAGCAGAATATCTAGAGATGCAGTGCAATCAATCTCCCATCCTTGGAAACTTAAGAATAAATCAGACAGACCCTTATCTGGAATAATTTTCAGAGGGGGATTTGACTGGATGACCTCCGGAGGTCCCTTCCAACCTTTCTTTTCTATGGTTCCCTTTCCAGATTTTCCTCATATGAAGTGCCAGTGCATCAAGGAGGCAAGGAGGAATCCATAGTGTCGACGATGCAGTTTGACTCATTTTGAATGCCACTTTCTTAGCTTTACAACACAACTAGGAGTAGCATCAGGGAAGGAGATCCTGTTACTAAACGTCAAGCTGCCAGCTCCACTGAATTTGGACACAGCAGGCAAAGAAAAAAGATTGCTGGCACGGCTGTGCTGTGAAAGCCTGTTCCTAACAACATAGCAGTTGGTGTCCAGGTGCTAAGTTACTCCTAAGTAACCTTGCTATTACAGACCATAGCATCTGAATATCTGGTGGGAAAGTGTTCTCCAAAGAACCGGTGCTGGGGACTGTTGCTTTCATAAGGTGTTGCTGGAAATGAGTGCCAACTGGATATTGTCTTTGGCCTTTTATTTTCAAGAAAAATCTAGGAAACCTGAACAAATGACTCTGTAACCTGCTCCCATATTTCTGCCACTTGTTTCCATTTTAGCTCGAATGAATACAAATACTTCTAATAGTACGATAAGTAATGATTCCTGGAACTTATACACTATTTTAATCTACTGTCATAGATGATCTCAGCATAGATGTCAAGCAAGCACTTTTTTCCAGTCATTCAAAGTTTATTGTAGTACTGAGTACAGAAGTTACTTCTTTTTGCCATGCGTGACGAACAGACTTGAAGTCATTACGGTTTCAGAAACGACTCCACAATATCTGTCCTGACCTGCAACACAGGCACTGGACAAGGTTTTCAGCTCTTGCATTCAAATCAAATGTTACAAACTACCACGGGCTGATTCCCCCTTGGCCTCCAGTTCCTAAACCAGAAACACTGGCAGGTAAACATGAAATCCATCACACAAAATGGCTTGTGTGGGACCCTCAATGGCCCTTTTACATTTCGGCTGAATGTTTACAACAATTCTTTGATTCAATCCAAACAAAACTGGCTTCGGCGTGTCATGCTATTGCATTTCTCTGTGTTAGAGTGCTGCCTTTGAAATGAAATCCTTCCTGTCGGACTGATAGACATCTGAAAATAGTACCAAAGTGCCCATTGTGATGAGAGATTGGTGGGGTAAAACAGCCTGATATTTCGATGAAGAAATTAAACTGACAATACAACTAGTTTTCTTTATTCAACCCCAAACAAGTAACAAGGAACCTGCCAGGCAGGATATAAAGCAATTGAGGTATCTTCTTGCTGCTATAAAGTGGAATTATGAAGAGGGTCTTTGGCCTGAGTACAGTGCACTTCTGGAAGACAGGAGAGACACCGAACACAAAAACCTAAGGATGAAACACATCAAGTTTCTCTAAATCAACAATCTAATAAAAAATGACAAACCAAGGATGAAAGTATCTTAGAATATCAGTGTTTGGGCTTGGCTAGCATTTGGCCAAAAGTTTGACTCTTAAGTGCCAGAATTAAGCCAAAATATAAAGAAAAATAATCTGTTTTAATTGACATTTTTATTATAGCTTTCCATTTGCTCAACAGGCAGCAGAATAAATGGTGGGAGGTTCTTTCTTCTCTGGAGAGATGTCTATCTTGTTTCCTCATCTTACAAAAATGCAAAATACTTATTACCCTCAAAACAGCAATCCCCATCAACAGCAATATACCACGACATTTCAAATGCAGAATGCACGATGCAGAAGAGTTATATTACTATTGCAGCACTTCTTAAATCATTTTATTATGTGTGCGCATTTCTGTCTCAATAGCTGGTAAGATTTTAGTAACCTATATATATATATATATATATAATATGTGTTAGACCGTGTGTGTGTATACATACACACACACACACACACACTAACACATATGCTCGCTCTGCTTGAAAAAGGGTGTTTGTACCTGAAAGCTTGCAAAGAACAATTTTTCCAGCTATTCGGTTGTTTAATAAAATATATCACATTTACTCAGGGAAGCTTGAATGCTAACACACAAACATAACAGTGCAATACTAGAACCCAATCCTGCAAAGGTTTACATCTATGCGCTTAACATTAAACTCACTTTTTAGTTCAATGGCACTACTTACATGTGTAAAGGTAAACACACAAATAGGTCTTTCAGGATGATAATATTAAGTAGTTCATATCTAAGGCATCTGAAGTGTACAAAGGCTATACAGCTAGAAAATACCATTATCTACCTATGTTCCAATTTATACAATACCAAAGACAAACCGAGCAATTACACACAGCAAGTAAGAAGTCTGCAATCCATATTTGTTCTCTTTATTTAATCTATCTGCCAAGGTCAGATTTAGAAGTGCTAAAGGAGAGCACAAAACCAAAGGAAGAGGGTAAGGTTGCTAACCACAGGAGAAGAGTAATGTAAAAGAAAGGATGAGGGAAGGAGTAGACAAGACAAGAGCAAAAGCAACATGAGTTAGACCAGGGGGTGTTTGCAGGACAATGATTCCAGTACAGAACTACAGGATTAGATTAGCTACAGTACATAAATACTACAGATTAGAATAAGGGCTTCATTTTCAGGCAAAAGGCACTGCTTGGGGCACTAACACCACTCTAAATGCAGTGCCTATATGTCTATGAGCAGAGAGAAGTCGTTAGCCATGTTGATCTGAAGTCAGTCAGAAGGTAGGGTAAATATGCACCTTTGTAGACTACTTAAATTAGATAGCTAGAGAGAGACCACAAGCTTGCACAAACCCAAGTTCACT